TATATATATATATATCTACGCGGCTTGTACTCAGATTAATTGATCGGGCATCTACTTGTCAGTTGTAAGTCCCGTTTGGTCCGGGGTTCGATTTCCCCCGTGTGCAGAGTGTGATACTCGAATTCTTAGGGGTATGAGGGATGACCGGGGCTCGTATAATAGCCTCTGGTCATTCCTTTTTAATACACACACACATACATACATATACCTCTCCAGTATATGGAGTAGGGAGATAGTCTACTTTATGTCCAATTGTAATATAATGCTATATGTATGAATTTATGTTGTACATTACAATTTCAGGAAAGCTTGCTTAACTGCTTCATCAATGCTTTCATCACATATATGAATATTCATTAAAAAAAGGCGATTATTATAATTAATAATAGAGATTAAAATAAGTCAACATGGTATTGAAATTCTGAAAACAACATGAGTAAAGTATCTGGCTTACAACTACTTGCATTAAAATTAATTCAATGTTCATCTAAAAAATAAAATTGATATTGGTCCGATCCGTTCCATTTTAGATGTGTATTATAGTTTTTTTTTTTTTTTGGCATTTATAGTTTCATTAGGTTTATTAAATTAATTCGTAGACTTTAATGTACAAACAATAAATTTACATATATGCCACAAAATTGTCATGTATTTGCATGTAACACCTAAAGTTTGATATCTATAACACTTTGTTGTCATAAACATATGAAATTTGCATGAAAAATTAATCGCCCAAACATGCAGGATAATAAGAGAAGTTTAGCCTTTGAGAATATGTTTAGACACTTTATTTATGAAGGGCTTAATTGAATTTGTTTAAATAAAGAAGAGCAAGTCAAAGTGTATGTAGTATGATAGAATGGAAGTAAACCTCAAAGAGTAGAAGAAAATGTCCTTTAAGATTTGAGATTGTTGTCTCTAGTGTTAGAATCATCATTCCCATGTTTAAGCCAAGATAGTGATAGGCATATTTAGATGGTCGGTTGCAGAAGAATCAAAACTAGGCATCTTGAGATCTTGTTAAAGATTAGTCAAAGATGAAGTGAACTTTTAATAATGTAGATGCTACATTTGAATTCTACTAAAGAAAATGAGTTATTACAATATGTCAAGTCCTTTTGGGCAAGTGCCACGACAAGTTAGCCTAATATATTAATTGTTGAATTCCAGGTGATGAATATGTGATGTTCAAATTATTGCATGAATTGTTGATAATTTGGGTTATGGTGAATTTTAAACGTGCTCTAATTTTGAGCAATTTAATATAGTTTGTTGTTGAATCTAAATTTGTCCAGTGAAATAAACCCAAGGAATAGAGTATAGAACAGAAGAGAGAAAACGATAGAGACGGAGAGAGACAGTGTGTGCACAGTAAAGAACAAATTCGACCGACTCTGTTGAGTTGGGGCAATCAGTTGACACTAATTGAACTTCGATTGTTCGGACTTTGTTCGATTGGTTTGACTCAACCGGTCGGCTGCTTTGGTTTAGCTGTTGAATGTAGATCTCTAAATGAAGAGTCCTTATTGCCAGAATGAGACTGGGCTTTTTGGACTCACTTAATCCGACAGGTAGCTCGCGCATTAGCAGAAGGTCTCATTAGGGTATTCGCAGAGTGTATCGAGGTGAGAACTTTTGAAGTCTAGAACAACCTTAGAGGTTCTTGTAAGGAGGTTGGTGG